CAAAAAGGATGTAAAGAAGCTTGAGAGGGTGCTATCTCCTAGTTTTCACTGATTTTTTTTGACAACCACAAAATAAGAGCAATTTTTCTATTGCAAAGAACTCAAAGACCACAGCAGGTCAGAATATTAATGCTAGGGATTCCTATTTGAAATCTCTGGGTTTGTCTTGTGACTCATATTTGCCTACCTTACAGTGCTAGCATTGTGTGATGCTCCACAACAATCTGGAAAAGATCTCAAGGAACCCCAGGGTGCCACAGCACCCTGGGTGAGAATCATCACTGTGGCCCTTTGCTCAGCTCCCACATCCTCATCCTTGATTAGGTTCTTTCATGACAGTGCTTCCTCCTTGATGAAGTAATTGTGCTAAACAAATTGACCCCCTTTTCCCTTCTATCTTCTCATTCATTCTTAAATTTTTGGTCTCTTCTCCACTTTTGCTAACCTTCCTCCCTTTCCTCCTTATTTTTCAATCCTCTGCTTCCTCTTAAACTAGCTTGTACAGCAAAAGACATTTCCACATATTGCAATAGAAGGCTTGCTGTTGCATTGCTTGGAGATCAAAGCCTGCAGACAATGGGCACCTAAGAGCAAAATCTAAGTAAAATATTTTTTAAACTTACGAGTGGCATAATTTCACTTGGTTCAAGTCATTCTACATTAAATAGGTTTTAATTCCAGTCCCCCAGCCCGAATTGCCCGCCATGCTTCAAGTGGAGTCCTACAAGGGTCCATCTTGGGCCCAGTGCTGTTCAACATGTTTATTAATAATTAGGATACTGGCATGGGAAGCTTCTTCAGCAAGTTGTCAAACCAAAGTGGGAAGGATTGTAAACATTGGACAGGAGCAGAATTCAGAAGAATCTTGTCAGACTGGAAAGTTGGGCTGAAAGTAACAGGATGAAGTTGAATGCTCACAAATGTAAGGTGCTACAGTTCGGGAAGAGTAATTATAAATACAAATATAAAATGGGCGACTCCTGGCTGAATGGCAGTACTACAGAGAAGCATTACAGATTACAGACTTAGGTGAGTCTGCATGATGCAGCTGCACAGACGGTGAACGCAGGTTCGAGATGCATCAATGGAAACATTAAGTGCAAGACACAAGAGGTGATAGTACTTCTCTACTCTATTCTGGAAATTCCTACCACAAAGGCGTACCATCATTTTGATTTTTAAACTAGTTTTAAACTAGAATGCACTTTGTAACCTACAGAAAGCCATGCTGCAAACTTTGGTCAACTGATGCAAATCTCAGGGAAAAAATATGCATTAACACTGTAAAAAGGGAAAATGCACCTACACATTTCATTTTCCCTCCCCTCTATTCCACTTCATGTATTTTTGGAAGCCATTTCAAGGAACATAAGGTTTTATAAAAAGCAGTTAGGCAGGGGAAATAGAAAATGCCCCACCACTGTGCAACTTCATAAGGCAATGAAAGGCTCCTTTTTCACAGTTCCTTTGTTTCCTTTCCCTTAGCCCACATGGCAGCTAGTCATATATATTCCCCCTCCCCCTAAATTATTTCAGAGTGGTTGGAAGAGCTCCAATGCATAGAAAACATTCCTTCTCACTAAAACCAGGTCAGGAAACAGAATTTTGCTTAGAGTTGGTTTGATTTCTACAAGATGCTTATTTCACTTGCATTTGGCTGATTTGCCCTAAAATATCACCACTCAGGTACAGTATTTCACTGATTTTTTATTATTATTCAACAGCAAGACATGCTAAACTTAGGTCTACACCACACACCTTTGCATGGATAGCAATGCTGGTCAGGAGCATGACACACAATCACCAATCACCAGACACTTCTGCTAATGCAGCATGTCATGGCAGCAAAGCTGCCCTTTAACTAATGTATTTTATTTTGCTCAGGGACTGAAATAAACTAATAAGCCATATTGACATAAGTACAATTTTGCCAGCATAAGCTTGGTACATGGTTGGGGTGCTGCACTGGTAGAGTACACGGGTATGGCTGCATTGACAAAGTGCTCCTAATTTAGAACCTGGACTAGCAAGGATGTCAATGCAATCTAGAGTAGGGGTTGGCAATGTTTTTGGGCAGAATACCAACCTTGACTTGTAGGGTGTTAGCATGCCAGGGGCAGGTGGGGAAGCCACGAGGGGCCCAATCCTTGTTGTGGCAGCGAAGCCCCAGCCCTTCCCCACCATCTGCCCTGAGGCTCACATGCAAAGCAAAATGCCTGTGCCCACCATGTTCTGGCACCTGTGTCAGGGGTTGCCTACCCCTGATCTAAAGGGGTTATTTCTCCTTTTAGCATGTGTGATGGTCATTGGTATCAAACAAAGCAGGAGTTAACAGTGCACCAATTCAGAATGATGGCTCCCCTGTTGAATGCCTGGTGCAGTTTGCACTGGTACCAATCTCTAAGACAACCAGGACTAGATTCAAATTCACCTTGAAGATGCTATGAAATACCTAGGTGCTACACTAATTTCAGTTCATTTCTATCTGGATTTCAAGAACAGTGAGAGAGAGGAACAGATCACATTCCTAGATAATAACATGGGAACACACTGCCACCTTCTGTTTTCCAACAACAGTGCATACCAACCCTGTGTAGGAGAAATCTCTAGGGCAGCGTTTCTCAACCTGTGGGTCACCACCCAACAGTGGGTTGCAAGAATATATGAAAGGGTTACAAACAGACTTTAAAAATGGATTCTCTTTTAAAGAAGAAAAATGTGGGAAGCTGTGGCTTTTCCCTTGCAGGCTGGCAGAGTTCCAGCCTGCAAGGAGTGCTTTGGGCCCCCCATGCCCTCCCTGCCCCACACACCAGGGGCCTGCGTCCTGGGGGTGGAGAACAGCAGGTCAGGAGTGAGGGGCACCAGCAGGGGTGGGGAGCTGTTTTCTACTTAAACTATTTACTGAGTCAGGACTGGCCACTAATGTTTATAAATGGGTCCTGGTACAAAAAAGGTTGAGAACCACTGCTCTAGGGAAGGTGACTCCAGATTCTGCTCAGGAAGTATACAGGGGAAAAAGAGGGGAAGGGCCATTAGCTACATAAAGTTTTGGGACTGAAGATGTACTGAAAGTGTGTTCTCCAAGTACTAAGCCACAGAGGGCCTACATAGCTAGGTACTTAGGGATATCTGCCATTTAAAGTAAGGAAAACTCTTATTTCATGGGTAAGCTGCAGAATGTGGAGTGAAAAAATATAGGACTTAGTTATAAAGTGATTGGAAGAAACTATGTAAGATTTCCCAAATAAAACAATCAGCTTTTATTGCTGTCTTACAAAACATGTTAGATTTTGGCAATATTTTACAGTTTATCCAGTTGAAAAGTTGAAAGGAAAAAAAAAATGGGAAAACGTTGGAAATTAACAATTTCAATGGACTTGCTTAAAAAAAAAATCCCAAACCAAAAACTGCCCCAGTCACTCCCATGAAACTAAGAACCCAGTTTCGTGTTATTCCATTATCCAAAAGATGCCAAGGGCAAAGCAGCAGGTGAAACTGGCAATTTCACTACTAAACGCATCAAAAGGACAAATGGAACATTTGCAGTGGTCTTTAGTATGGTCTGTTCCGCTGGTCATTTCTGAAGTCATTTCTGAAAGAAAAAAAGATAGTTCTTTAGCCCTGCCTGTTGTAGCATGACTCGCTCCTTACAATCGGAAATTACTCACTCCCACAAGGCTCCACTATACCATCATGCCCACGGAACACTCCAAAGTAGGTCTGCCTGCATGTGCCTATAATATACGCCTATATTTTGTGCATACAAATAAACTAAGAAAAAATATATGCATGTAATACTGCTACACATGGTTCATGCCACCTGTCTTTCCCATCCACCTCAAGATGTGACACATTCCTGAAGTCTACATCCTACAGGTAGGTATGAAATAACAAATACTTACCTTCCTCCCATTTTACCACCATAACTACTGCCCCGGTCACTGCCTCTACCACCACGTCCTCTGTATCCTCTTTCACCTCCAAAGCCTCCCCTCCCACGGAAGTCTGTATGGAAGAAGCATAAAAGCAAAATTTCAGCCAGGTTTACAAAAATGCCACAGATGTCATGAACACTCAAAGCAGCAACTTCTTACATATGTATTGATCTTGTACCCACCTCCTGATGGTCGCAAATCTTCTGGTCTGGGCTCATTACACTGATTACAGGAATTCCTACGAGCAAAGTTCATGTTACTGCAGGTCCTGGAAAAG